ATCCTCGCCGCACTTGGCAGGTCGTCGGAGAGCATCCTAGTCGGCGCCAACTCCCGACGGTTGCTTCTATTTACCTACTAGCGCGCACTTGCTACCCGGACCAGCCACAGCGAAGACGAGCAATACGGGACCAGGACATCACACACTCCGGGAATGTGGCTGAAGAATGACTTGTGTCAAATTGGTTTTAATGCAATGTCTAGATTGGCAAGAAAACAAAGAAATTTCATAACTGTGAAGCAGAGCGAGTGCTATCTAGGCAAGAAATTTGGTGATAATCTCGCAGAAGTCCTCGAAACCATCAATGTAGGGAACATGCCCAGCATCCTTGATAATCTCCATCCTCACGGGCACCTTCTTGCCACGGTTCCAGAGGCTTTCCTCGATAGCCTGCCGCATCTCCTGCATCTTGGCTGGAAGGTCCGCATCCTTCTCCCCGGCGACAATGAGCGCCTCTTCGCAGCCGTGTCCCACCTTCGGATATAGCGGCCTCAGGTCGAAAGACGGGCTTCTAAGGGCAGCACAGCACGCCTCGAGTCCCTGGATTGTAGTTGTCGCCATGGACTTCTCCATCCTCGCCGTCTCCTCCGGATACTTCGCCATCCAGTCCTCACCAAACCACCGCTTCCGAGTGTTTGACAGGTCCTCCGAGATGGAACCCGACTGCTTGACGGCGCTTACCCGCGCGGCGAAGTTATCGGGGATGCCGGCCACGGCCGGGGAAGCGGCGATGGCATCGGCCACGACGATCTTGTTCACGATGCCCGGGTGGCGCGCGGTGAAGTACACGGCCTTGATGCCGCCCATCGAGACGCCGACCCAGGCATGCAACTTGTTGATTTTGATGTGTTTAAGAAGGTAGTAGACGTCGTCCGCCAAGGTCTCGAATGTCATGGAGGTCAATTCGGGTTCAATAGGTGCACCCGAGCGTCCATGGCCTGGATGGTCGTAGCGGAGGATGCGGAAGCCTTGGTTTTCCACCACAGGCACGACGCGATCCCAGGATGTCAGGTCTTCGACCAATGAATTAGAGAGAAGGACCACGCGATCGGAAGAACCGCCGGCCGACAGGGAATAGGCCATCTGTCGCCCGTTTGGGAGCGTGAAGGACTCGCGTGTAGACGACATGGCAATTGACGCGTGCTGCGTCCAGCTGAAAAGCAGAGCCAAAAGACGTGAGAGGTTGTAATGACAGAAATTCTGCCGTGTGACTTTGACGATCAGAAACGGATCAAGACTCGATACCAGTCGGCCACTTTGCCGGATGTTTCCATGTCGGCGCCGAGAGTGGGCCATGCGGGGGGAAGCTTCCCCGTCTCCCCGCAATTCCTCCCCGGGGCTGATAAACGGGAATAGGGGCATGAACCGGGAATATAAGTCCGTGTCATCCCCCTATTCCAACGTGCATACGGTTGATTGCTCCGACGCTTCTTTGACTCCGCAGTACTCGCATAGGCTCCCTGTCATCTATCCTATCATCTACGCAAAAGAGAGACTCAGTCGACGACCATGTTATCGGACGCGAGACGGAAGTAGCGGAGGACCGCAACCTCATTTCTACGTGATGGCCGAGGTATCGGCAGCAGCGCCGCCGAAACGCCGGCTGAGGAGGATCCCAGACGCGTCGCGGAAGCGATCCGCGTATAGCTGTAAGTCTGCGTGTCTGCCGCTCGCCTTATTGTAGGCGAGTATGAAGTGACCCGGTACTGAGACCTGCGCTAGGCGACTTCTGTCGAAAGGTAAGCTCACCGATATGTCGTGATGCAGGAGGATCAGGGTCAAACCCCTTGTTGCCTCCCGTACATGCAAGGGCTGTAAGCTGACACCTGGGTGTCCCTACGATGATGCCGACAGCGACGCTGCAAATGTGTTCCACTGCCATCAGGACACGGATGTGTCATGTGCCAAGACCACAACCTGGAATGCTCTTATACACTTCCGCGAAAGACCAGGTTCTACGGCAGCGTAGATGATCTGAGTGATCGGTAAGAGGACATTTAGGCAACCTTTTCCTGCGACCAACCCGTATTGACAATGTCTGCCATCCCACCTTAGATATAAATGCTTAGAGGCCATTGCACGTGGTGCATTTCCTAATGACGGTATCTCCACCGTTCCAGAGCTCATCCGGCTGGGAGAGCGCATGGGATATGTCATGCCGGACCTATCTCAGAAATCAGGGGAATCACCCAGGATAGAGGAGCTGGTGAGAGACTTCTTCACCGAAGCTGGAGACCACGGCCTTGCTGGGCCAACACAGCGTGCCTCTTCACCGCCACCAAGAACACATACCGAGAATGAAGGAAGGCACTCTTCCAGCCAAGTTCAGGAAAACAACTCCTGTACAGATGAACCTGTCGGACTCATTAGAGACACCACCGGGCGAGAACATTTCATCGGCCCGTCTGGAAGCCTGCAGTTTCTGGGCCAGCTCCGGAGGTTACTTCTTGTATCCCGCAGCGAGGATGCCGTGGGATCCCGGGCACCCACTCGCCTTACGGCCACGTTCACCGACGAAGATGCAGCGCAAGCCCTGGAAGCAGATGGTGACCTGAGCGAGATTGCCGCTTTGCCTTCCGGGGGCATTGGCAACGGTGCCAATGAAAGCCAGGACATTGACAAGCGCTCCCCTGCCTCCTTGGGTTCTGCTCTTTTCCGGGATTTTTCCAGCATTCCCGTCAATGACATCGACGAGATCAGAAGGCAGCTTCCGCCTCGCCACGTTCTCGATTCTCTGATGCGAATATATTTCAAGAACGTCCATCCGGACTTTCCCTTATTCCACCGCGGTACCTTCGAGGAAGAATACGAGACCTTCATGTCCACGGGGCGGTACTATCATCAGCACGCTCGAGCGGCTGTACATTTACCTTCCCCCACCTTACCTGAACCAGGCTGGTTAGGCTGTTTGCACATGATGATTGCCTTCGCCTCGCTAACTGGCTCTGTCGATGTCGCTACCGACCTGGATCTGACTTCCCTCTGTCACCATTGTGCCAGCCTTACCCGCCAGCTCCTGCCTCAGTTTATCTCAAAGTGCACCCTCTCCAACGTCCGAGCCCTCCTACTTCTGTCCCTTTTCCTTCATAATCACAATGAGCGTAACGCGGCTTGGAACCTAGTTGGGACTGCCATGCGCCTTTCCTTCGCCATGGGTCTGCACCGGGCCAGGGACAACGGGTCGCACTTTCGGCCCATGGAAAGGGAGGTGCGCAAGCGCGTCTTCTGCACGCTCTACGGCTTTGAGCAATTCCTCGCGTCCAGCCTTGGGAGACCAAGCGGGTTCTACGACTTCGAGGATGTGGAGATAGTCCCTCCGCGCGAGGGAGTGCTGGACAGTGGGCAGGATGAGGACGAAGAGGTCATGAAACTTTCGCTGAGGCTGCAAGTTATCCTGGCCAAGGCCAGGGTATCCCTTGCCGTCAAGACGCTGGCTGTGGCCAATGAGAGAAGCAACATCGACGGTCTGGCTCGACAAGAGCAGTCTTCGAGGGAGACGCTGCGGATCTTGAAGGCGTGGAGGGACGATCTGGCTTCCCACCACATGTTAAACATCCCGTTGATCAGCGAGACAGATGATCCGCTTTGCCAGGACGTCGAGGAGATGCCGCGAATGTCACTCCAAGATCTCAAGGCCATGATGGGTTGGCAAAGCCGACCTCGACTTCGGGCTGCCCTGGTCTTGCACCTCCAATACAGGTACATCGCCGTTCTAGTGACGCGGTCTTCTTTGCTCCGATATGTCGCATCCACGCAACAGGGTGAACCAGACCACGCAGCCCTGCTGAGCCGGAAAGAGGCCAGAACCGACCCGTATAAAGGCTCCGTAGGAGAACGGCTATCGGACATCTGCGTTGCGCACGCCGTGCAGTTATGCCGGCTCATCTTGCTTGCGGACTCCTTTGGCTTGGTGAATGGCATATCGGCCATGGACGTCTTCTACGCCTACTGCGGCGTTATGGTGCTCATATTGCGGTCGCTACGGATTTCTAGCTCTGCAAGCCACTACCATGACCAGCGCGAGGCGCACTTGCAGCTGGAGTTGCGCAGGCTGATCGCACAAGTGAGGGAAGTGCTCATGCGTGTGAACAAGTGCAGTACGATGAAGCGGTTCGCGCGCGTCGTGGCTATCTTCGAGGATGGATCAAGGCAGAATAACATCAGGCCTGCTGATGGTTCTACCAATCGGTCAACGGCTAACGGCGCTCTGTTTGAGATGGGAACGGCTCGGCAGGCATCTCGCGGCCCTCGGGACCAGTTCAACGATTCTATCCACGCCGCCTTAGATGGCGGCCGGGCGAGCAACCTGGCAATCGTTCCGGGTGCAGGAGCATCGCTGGACACGTCCTCCTCCCTGTCAGTCTCGCAGCAAGAGCCCCTTAACTTCCAGCATGGACATGGTATCGGAATTGTGCCGAGGCTCGGTATATCAGATCCCTTCTGGCAGCCAAACTTATTGACGTCCTTTGATGGGGAGCCGGAGGCAAACGGTTGGATGATGGACCCATTGCTCGCGATGGACGGGACCGGCGTTGTGGACTGGGGCGACATTGAGTCCCTCTTGTCACGGAATCCGGGCCAATAGTGGCTTGGCCAAGGCGCACTGCCTGTAGTATGGTATATGATCTAGCCCGGAGGCAGAGGCTGGGAGGCAATAATCCACATTGTTCGGGACCAAGCATCCGTCGGGATGACTATGCCGCAAATTCAAACCACCGATTACTCCTGACGTCCCCACATTAGATGTGCATCACAGGGAATGTCAATCGACATTTTCTAACACCCGGAGGTAAGTCCGTCAGCATGCACCTCATTCAAGTCGGACTCGATCAGCTAGCCGATACGGTGCTGTAGCGGGCCGGAAGCCGCATTCTTTTTTACAGCGCCCTCTGCGCCATTCCCCAGGACTACATGTTCTGAAAGGACAGAACTTTAAAGCTTTCAAACCCATCCTGCTCGCTACGCAATTACTGATTGCGGGCACAAATTGATCATTCACAATGTCTCAACCCAACGGCGTCCATGTCAGCAAGTCTGGTACTTCACTGGCAGCTCCGCAACAGTTATTTATCTCAGGAAAATACCAGAACAGCCAGAACAAAGGGACCTTCCCCGTGAAGAACCCCATGACAGGCGAGACCATATACGAGTGCGTCTCAGCCTCTCTGGATGACTTCGCCCGCGCCATCGAGGAAGCACATGCAGCCCAACCTTCGTGGGCCCGCCTCGGCCCCTCGTCCCGGCGGTTGATCCTTCTCAAGGCCGCCGACATCATGGAGACGTACATCGACAAGGACGCGCCGGCCATCCTTTCAGCCGAGGTCTCGGCCACCAGGGGATGGGTCAGGGCCAACATACTGTCCACAGCCGGCGTCTTCCGCGAGACCGCCGCCCTGGCGACGCACATCAAAGGAGAGATCGTCCCCGCGGACCGGCCCGGCACCACGATTCTGGTGAGCCGTGAGCCCGTCGGCGTGGTCCTGGCCATCAGCCCCTGGAACATGCCTGTCACGCTGACGGCCAGGGCGGTCTGCTGCCCGCTGATCTGCGGGAACAGCGTGGTGCTGAGGCCGTCTGAGTTCAGCCCCAAGTCGCAGCACCTCGTCGTGCGTGCTCTGACCGAGGCTGGACTGCCGGCGGGGTGCCTGCAGTTCCTGCCCACCAGCGCCGCCGACACGCCGCGGGCGATCGAGTTTGCAATCCGGAACCCGAAGGTGAGCCGCGCAAACTTCACGGGCAGCGACCGCGTTGGCCGCATCATCGCCGGGCTGTCGGCATCATGTCTGAAGCCGTGTGTGCTGGAGCTGGGCGGCAAGGCACCCGTCGTGGTCCTAGAGGATGCCGATGTGGAGGCCGCCGTGGAGGCAGTGGTATATGGCGCGATGTCCAACAGCGGGCAGATATGTATGTCCACGGAGCGTGCGATCGTGCATCGCTCCCTGGCAGCGGACTTCAAGGCCCTGTTGGTGAAACGGGCGGAGAGCCTGCGGGTAGGGAACCACCTGGAGGATCCGGACGTGCAGCTTTCGGGCCTTTTCACTGCCGCCTCTGCCGAGCGCGTGCTCGGCCTGATCCAGGGTGCTGTCGACGCGGGTGCCACGCTCCTGGCGGGCGACCTGGCTCTTCACGGACCGTGCCGAACGATCCTGGCCCCTCACATCCTCACAGGCGTCACGCGGGATATGGACCTCTTCCACCGGGAGACGTTCGGCCCCGTGCTCTTCGTGTCCGAGTTCGACACAGACTACGAGGCCGTCGCGCAGGCCAACGACAGCGAGTTCTCGCTGTGTGCCAGCGTCTTCTCGCGTGACGTCCTGCGCGCCATGGACGCGGCCAAGCGGATCCGGACGGGGAGCTGCCACGTCAACGGGCCAACCGTGTACATCGAGGCGCCGCTGCCCAACGGGGGCGTCGGCGGCGCGAGCGGCTATGGTCGGTTCGGCGGTGTGGCGGGCATCGAGGAGTTTACGGAGAGGCAGATCGTGAGCTTAGTGAGGCCGGGGATGAAATATGCGTTCTAGATAGCCACTCGTCTGGGAGATGTCGGTATAAAGTGGTTGAAAATCAACATTTCTTGTCCAGATTCATCTACATGGAACTATCATCATCTATGGAACAGAACAGACTCGCTTTACAACAGAACTTGTCGCAAGACGTTTCAGGAGCAAGATCCCCTGTGTGGGAAGTACAATATGCACGGAGTTACAGACTTCAGACCGGTCTTCGGGGGCTATTTCCAAGGGCAATGTTAAAAGGACCCCTCTTGTTGATGTTCGGACCCCCTCTCCACCTGCCTAAGCCTAATAGGCTTAGTATGTGTATTTCATTGTGTATTTTCTTAGTAAAAATGAACAAAAGGGCGTAGAGGAAGACAATAGGCCTCGTAGGGTGTGTGAAGACTTGCACCGAGGTCAATACACGTATACCAACTAGGCCAAAAAGATCACTATGTCAGCCTGACGGCTGACATGCCTAGGACCGATATATATACTACTTAGTACGCACAATTGTACGCGTGCGCATCCTAGACGCCACGCCGTGACAGTTGAATCTTATCTTCTATAAGAAGCACTCGCTAAAGCAAAAAAAGTTTAGATAGTAAGATGATATAGACTTTTCAGTTTACGATAGGGGGTCTAAAAAGCGGTATCATCCGGCCGCGTACGCTAGGCAGACATTTTCCGCAATGTTGTTCTTTTGCCAGAAGAGCGTCCATCTCAAGTTGTTCAATAACAAAAGAAACACTACAATATTTACTGTATCATCCGGGGAAGCTAAATGTGGATTGATCAAGGACGGTGGGTGGCGTTGGGCAGGCGTGGAGCAGTGAGGTCTTAGATTGACGTGGGCCTTCACGAACCAACGCTACCTTCTAACGTGCCTCGGGGCGGTAAAATCAGGCTATTTTGATTACCGCTTTACCCTGCATAGTCCCATTCTCGATCTCTTTTAAGATCTCGTCAATATCCTCCAGCCTCCTCTCATTTAGCTGTGGTTTTACCTGGCCCTTGGCGACAAAGGCGAGGGCCTCCGCTGTGTCCTGGCGGTCACCCGTGGATGTGCCCATGACCTTGATACCACGGGCGACGAAGTCCGCGGGACCCAGGGGGAGCGGTGTCGGCTTCGGGGGGAGGCCGATACACACCAAGGTGCCGGTCCGTCTCAGGAATTTGACGGCATCGGCATACGCCTGGCCGGACGAGGCACAGATGAGTGCGCCATGAGCTCCCCCATCCGTGACCTTGATCACCTGGGCCACGCAGTCATCCGTCTCGAGCACGTCGATGTACAATTCCGCGCCCAGGCTCAGACAGAGATCCCGTTTCCTAGCATCCAAGGCCACGACCTTGAGCCCCATGGCACGTGCATATTGAATAGCTAGATGACCCAAGCCGCCACCGGCCCCCGCCACAGCGACCCAGGAGCCCGCCCGGAGGTTGGCGATCTTGAGCGCCTTGTAGACGGTGACACCCGCGCACAGTATCGGAGCGGCATCGGCGTCGCTCACCCCGGCCGGCAGGCGGACCATGTACGCGCTGTCCGCGATGGCGTACTCGGCAAAGGTGCCCTCGACGTCCTTGCCCGCGAGCTTCCGGCTTGGGCAAAGGTTCTCATAGCCGGTCGTGCACACCTCGCACTTCCCGCAGACGATGTGCACCCACCGCACCGCTACCCGGTCACCGACGTGCCACTCCACCGCGTCCACGTCGGGGCCGAGGCTGGCGATCACCCCCGTGCCCTCATGGCCACCTACTGTAACCTTGGGCTGCAGATAGGGGACGCTGCCGCGGGCCAGATGGAGATCTGTGGCGCAGACACCGGAGTAGTGTAGCCTGACGAGTACTTGAGTGCCAATGGGGACTGGAGTTGGCCGTTTGGCGACGGAGATGGCCTTGGTCTCCTTATCTTGGATCGCCGCAAGAGACGTCTCTGGTACAGATAGCGAGCCCATGATGGCGTGGGGGAAGGGCAGAAGGAAAAAGGGGGTAAGAAAGCAGAGAAAGACAATTTGGTAAGATTCCGTCGAGGGAGAAAGTAACGGCCTGCAAGCAAGATGTGATCTTAATAAACTCACTTCATATCTCTCTGCGTCCTCTCTCCATTCTAGCCCTTGGCGGCGAAATCAACATTCTGCAATGCTCGGGACTAGACGGATCTCCGGGCTGTTGCTTTGTATTTTGCCGACGACTTCGATCCGATCGGAGCCAACCATCCGATATTCCTGGGGTTTCCCCGGCCATTTTCAGGGAAGTAACTGGGAGATCCCATCTTCGCCGCGTTAAATCCGGGGTGAGGGTGGGACCCATTCGGACAACTATCCGACACAAACAACTTCACAGATTCTGGGGTCCCCATAGCGACTCCCTGGTCAATTGGCTGATAGCTTTGGTCTTCCATGTATTCAGTGAGAATATGCCACTGGGGCGTCCGAACTCCACTCACGAAAAAAAGTGCTGGGGGTTATAATTGGACACGTTTCTTGCATCTGGGGAAATTTCCCAAGTTGATGCCTGTGGACTCCCGTTAAGAACATCCGGAAGAACAACGTCTCACCATGAGCACGAGAAAAGAAGCTATCCCGCGTGAGTTCACCCGCAGTCCTAGACGAAAAAGGCCTCAGGAGTGTCTAGCACTTACCCTCGCCGGCGTGTGCGGACAAAGTTATGCTGACCCCATCAGATACAGACAGCGACATGGTGGAGGACCCAGAGAAGAATCTCTCAGATTGCGAGGATGCCGTCTCCGTTGAGCCCAACCTCAAGATGCGCGACGGCGTCGTCCTGATGCCGCAACCATCTGATGACCCCAACGACCCGCTCAACTGGTCCTGGTTCCGCAAGCACGCCGCCATGTTCACCATCTCGTACCTGGCCCTCGTCTGTTACGTGGCCGTGACCACGCTGGTCACGGGGACAGTGCCTCTGGCCCGGTCCCTGCACGTCTCCAAGTCTACGGCCGTTTACCTGGGCAACACCCCCGTCGCTCTCTACGCCGTGGCGCCCTGGCTCTGGAGCCCGCTGAGCCACTTTATAGGCCGTCGCCCGGTGCTTCTCATGAGCAATATCATTGCCGTCGTTGGGGCTGTCGTTGTTACGACGTCCAAGACATATGCGTCGTGCATGGTTGGCCGCGTCATCCTCGGTGCCGGTGGTTCGGCGTTCTGGACACTGGGGCCGGCGAGTATCGGGGACATTGTAATTATCCCCTTGCACCATGATATCACTGCTACTCTGATGAGCATATGGAAAGAGCTGACCATGCCATGCCGTAGTTCTTCTGCCACGAGAAGGGCAGGAAGATTGGTGTGTCGACCTTGGCCATTGTGGTCTCGCCATTCTTGGGGACAATGTATGTATCGAAAATACATGCTCTTATACCTCTGCAGAAGCAACAGCTGACTGGACCCTCCTGACAGCATCGGCGGACCCATTATAGAGAACGACAAGCTGGGCTGGCCGGCCTCCCAGTGGATCCCACTGATTTTCATGGGCGCCGGCTTCATCATGCAGATATTCTTCCTCCCGGAGACCATCTACGTCCGAGAGACACGCGCGCATCCTGCAACCATCTCCACATCCACGCCGGGCAAGTCCACGTTCTGGGACCGCTACGGGATCCACATCCCCAAGCGCTCAGAGGAGAAGCAGCACAGCTTTCTCTTCATCGCGACGCGCCCTTTTGTCCTCTTCAAGTACCCCGCGGTGATGCTGTCGGCCTTCTGGTTCGGCATCGCCTACATGATGCACGTGGGCATCACGGCCGAGATCCCGCTCATCTTCGAGGCCCAGTACAATTTCTCCGTGCTCGGCATCGGGCTGTCCGGCTTCTCGGGACTCATCGGCGCCCTGCTCGGCGAGGTGTATGCGGGACCCTCGCTGGATCTCATCGCTAAGCGGGCCATGAAGCAGGGTCGCGAGTGGCGCCCTGAGTACCGCCTGAAGGCGATCTGGCCGGCGGTTATTGCCGTGCCGGCCGGCCTGATCATGTTCGGCACGTCGATCCAGTTTGGAAAGACTTGGATCACTCCTCTGATCGGGCAGGCCGTTTACATCTTCGGCATCGAGGTTGCCACCACGGTTATGTATGCAGCCCTGTCTTTACTACACCCTGGCAACGAAATAGGCTGACAAGGAGTGTTTCGCTAGTCAAACCTACATCCTAGAGTGTTACCCTCGCCAGGGCGCCGAGGCGAACTTGGTCTTCAACCTCATCCGCAACTTGTTCTCCTATACAAGCCCGTTCTTTTTGCAGCCGATGATTGCAAACCTCGGAACCGCCTCTCCATTTGGTCTCTTTGCTGCCTTGACTGTGTTCTTCTTCCCTTTCACTGTGGGTGTCTTGATGTGGCGGGGCAAACAGATCCGGGACAAAGGAGGTGACCCGGGCTGGAGTAGGGACTAAAGATGCGTCATATACGGGCATCTGTTGTTGAACTTCCGGTCTTCTGGGAATACTTTTGTTCTGGGATCATAACGTGCGGGAACCTAGTAATGCAATCCTTGGAAATGGGCCCTCTTGTTGATATTCGGACCCCCTCTCCAACCGTCTAAGCCTAATTAGGGAAGGCGTAGTATGTGTATTTCACGGTGTCTTTTTTTAGTACAGTGACACAGCCAATGTTTTAACACTATTGGACAGACCGATTTTTAGACCGTTTTTTAGACCGTTTTTAGACATCCACACTTGATAGTTCTCGTCAAATATTGTATATGTAATCCAATTGCTACATTTATGTGGGTGTTATTTTTAGGGCACCTTTATGAACAATTGCAATTGGCTTATATGGTGTGCAACGTAAAACAATGCCTAGGTTTAAGCGTTATATACGTATAAGGCGAATATATATCTAAGAGTACATAGTGACGTAGCAATTGTTTTGACACCTGTTTGATTACTCAGATTCTGCTGGTTAAAAATTCGATTTTTCAACACCCCTAGACTGGTTTCCTAATAAAACACTTAACTGTTATGGATTAGGTTAAATTCTGTCTTCTAAAAAAAGCACTTACTAAAGCAAAAACATTTAGAAAGTAAGGTGATATAGACTTACTCTTTGGTTTGCGATAGGGGGTCTAAAAAACGGTCTAAAAAACGGTCTGTCCAATAGTGTTAAAACATTTGTTGTCACTATAACCACTTGCCTTTCGGCTGTGATCCGAGGTCAAGACCACATCGGACTTCCTTGCGAGGGTTCCTATAGTGGTGAATCTATACCGGCAGCATTCATAATAAACCCTTTATAGTAAACGTAGTAATATCTGACCTGAAATTACAAAACAATGATCTAAATTCTCAACCTTTGTCGACTCTCTAGGCAAGTATAATGTGTCATTTCCAATGCTGAGGCCCGAGGTATAACAGTTACAATATGCCGATGCCACATGCGGGGTAAAAGGATATGAGCATGGATGTGAGTATAAATTATCGCATCTTACAAGTCCTAATTTACAAACAAGTCGTTTTTCTGCCCATCCATTCTGTATATGGACCAGTATGTCAGTCCCAAAACCCGCATTTGATACCTTACCCTTGCGCGAAGATGGACCGGTCGGTAACGCTTGGGGTATGTTTGGGGATCATGATCAGCTGGGCATGCTCAATCTTCTGACACCTGAGAATACTGCTGCGGCTGCCCGTGAGATTGTCGAAGGTGTGCGCGTCTCAACCGACTGGGCTCTCAATAGCATGGCCACCCCTTGCTTTGGACGATCTGCCTTTGAACACGTTCTGAAGAATAAGGCTCCCCGGGCTGTCAATGATGATATACTAGTCTTCAACACACAGAGTAGCTCTCAATGGGATGGCTTTCGACACTATGGATCGAAACAAGGAACTTACTACAATGGGTGCACACAGGAGGATATCCAGAACTCGACCCGTAATGGCATTCATGGTAATTTCCATCCAGCCCATAGCATTCTCTGTACTGACATCGTTCCTAGTATGGGCTGAGAATGGGGGTATTGTTGGACGGGGGGTTCTTTTGGACTATGCCGGCTGGGCAGAAGCCAAGGGACACGATGTAAAATGCTTTGAAACCCAGTCGATCCCCGTTTCAGTTCTTCAAGATGTGGCTACTAGCCAGAAGACCACATTCCGACCTGGGGATATCTTGTTCATCCGCACTGGCTGGACTCGAGCGTACGAGAGGCTGTCCCCCGCCGAATGCCAGCAACTAGCGGATTATACCGCGCCTCCAGTCATTGGCGTAGAGTCATCCGAATCCATGCTGCGCTGGATCTGGGATCAAAGCTTCGCTGCTGTCGTGGGAGATATGCCGAGTTTTGAAGCATATCCATGCCAAAACTCAGACTTTTTCCTTCACGAGTGGTTGTTGGCTGGCTGGGGAATTCCGATCGGAGAGCTTTTCGACCTGGAGCGACTGAGCCAGGAGTGTCGCAAGAGAGACCGCTGGACATTTTTCTTTAGTAGTGTGCCATTAAAGGTATAGACCAGCCCGCCCCCTTGTGACTTCATAACTAATCATTTTTAGGTTCCTGGCGGAGTTGCCAGTCCTCCAAATGGCGTGGCTATATTTTGATCATGTCATTTTCGGCTCAAGTACAAGTGTGTATAGTTACTTAGGTAGATGTAAACCCTCAGAAATGAAGCCTTCTCGTGTTCGGCCCGAGAGAGATAAGAAGTGGAGAACCCCCCTCAACTTCACCTTCTACCCTTAGCATCGTCAAATATGGTACTTGGCAATGCAGGCGTGTCGCGCCGGTCGGAAGACCGATCTAGGAGGTCCATGGTAGCGTATGTGGGATGTGTGTGGGATCTCTGATCGTGTGCTGAGAGAGGTACAGATGTAACCGATGCCGGGGTCGAAAAACGCGCTGTGCCGGCAACCCGCCACATCCTTGTGCTGCATGTGTGGAGGTGGGCAAGACATGCGTGTATTCAGAAGCAGAAAAGCGTGTCTCCATCACTGAAAGGTTGGCGAAATACCAGTTGTTAATGGTCGACACTGACGATGTGCAGCTACTATCGTCAACTACAATCACAAGCTCCAGGTATGTTGTCCACCACACACGATACAACATATTTTAATCTCAGTGTAGAAGGCAGCCAGTCTATAATTTCCAGTGAACCATCAACATCTACTCGCTATTCTGACAGCGAGGCCCCCCCAGAACGGGACGATTGGTGGTACAAAGGAACAGACAACTTGTTCCTTAACCGGTCCGGAGAGCATCGTACGTATTCATCTCAATGGGGAGAATATATTGTCTCACTAACTTTCCTCGAGATTTCGTGGGTGCTTCGTCCACCACTCATCTCGCCAAACGACTCAATCCCGGGTCCACCAATCTTGCATGGGATGTGCGCCCACTTTATGATGACCCTTCGTCACTAAGACGGCCAGTCGGTGCTACGCTTCCTCAATTACCCCCTTTTGAGTTCGCCAAGCGATTATTCTGGGTGCAATATGCCTATATCGGAACTATCTTCTCACTGATCCACCCTGCAGAATTTGAAGAAAGGCTCGACCTGGTCTACCATCAACCACTCGACCTTTCGCATCGAGAATCGAGTTTGGTGTATTGCCAGACTCTACTCGTCATTGCGTTTGGCTTGATGTATTCTGTAAATCAGTGGGCGGGCGATGACGGCCCACCGGGATTCAAGTATTTTAAGCACGCGCTACGATTCTTACCTGATATCCACGAAGAGGGCTCGATTTTCTTTGTTGAGGTGTTATGCTATGTAGCATACTACATGCAAAACCTTAACCGACGTGATGCTGCTTTCCTTTACGTATGCAGATCTTCTAATTTTCTTCTGCAACGTTGCTAACGATGTCAGATCGGACTGGCCTTACGCATGGCTATCTCTTTAGGTCTTCATCAAGAGGTTTCAGACCCAACAATAAGTGAGGCAGACCGCAACCGTCGACGTCGGGCTTGGTGGTCTGTCTATAGCTTGGACCGGTAATTGCCGCCGATTTTCGTTTTATCTGGAACTGCCGCTTATATTCATCAACAGGATACTTTCGGTCAAGTCTGGGAATCCTATCACCATCCATGATGAAGACATCGGTATAACCTGGCCCGCAGCAGTGGTATGTTATCTTGGCATGTCTATATGATGTGGTCTGATTCTCTTTCTAGGATGGAACAACCTTCGATCCATGGCCATCAACTGTCCTCACTCATTATACAAAGCTCTCCCGTATCTTGGGACGGATTGGCGAAGGTAAGACTGCACATGCACCTCATGGCATGCCAACGCTGACCTAGGGACTTTGCCAGAAATTTATCGAAAGAAGCCCGGATCTGGATCCAACCTCATTGCTTCTGTTCAAAGTATAACAAATGATCTTTCTGGATGGCTACGCCAGGTCCCTGATCGTCTGCGTATTGATTTCTCCACACTTGACACTCATATCAATCGGGAGTCAGTCTCGATCAACTTACACTTTTACTCATGTGTGAACATGACTGCACGTCCGTTGGTATTTTATGTCATTCAACGACGACTTGATGCAGAAGCCCTTGGGTCCGCCACAGAAGATTGGAAGGAAGGGCTCGCCCCAAACACCGTTGCTGTTATTGATAGCTGCATCACAGCTGCGCGAGCAACCACCTTAATAATGGATGCAGCTGCAAAACACAATCTCATTGGTAAGTGATCACTAAAAGCCTATGTCTTGGTCTGTGCAATTATCTGATAACAATCAATTAGCTACGTATGGTTACCTTGATGGCGAGTATATCTTCTCCGCTGCACTGCTGCTTGTCATGGTGAATGCTGCATTCCCGCCGAATGAAACCAGTGCACGAGCCATGGAGACTGCACTGAACCTTCTTCGGGGAATGGCTGATCGTGGAAACACCTATCTGGGCTCACGCCATTCACTATTGCTGGAACTCCGGGCTGCCATTGTGACTAGGTCTGCTGCAAATGACACCGATCGCGCGAGCTCGGCAGGCCTGAAGGTCCCATTAACGCCGACAACTGAGCACGGCACAAGCCTCACAGAGGAGAAAGAAGATATGGCATCTCAACTAGGAGCCTCACAAGTGCTTGCTCCTGGGTGGCCACAGAACGAACTCCCCTCATTCCGAGATATTGCCTTTCAGTTCGACCTGAACGATGATCCGGCACTCTGGGAAGGGGCCTTGGACCAGATTGATATTGATATGGATACCGACTGGATTGAGAATACACTAAAGCGATAGGAATACATGTATATCGTAATTATGTTTTTACTCTGTAGCTCGATCTATATGAAATAGGGCCTGAGGCCGCAGATTTCATACATGTGCGTAGAATCCCCAGCACGGTCCACGAATATCAAACCAATCCTAATTCCCACTACTAACTTACCCCTTTTCTCCTCACTATTCACTTTATTCACTATTATCTCTACATCTCTACATCTCTCACTCCTCCCATCCCCTACCCCGCGCCTTATCATCGGGCCGATCATCCCGACGCGGGTCTCCATCGGCCCGACACGTGACCGCCAGTACAACAGTAACGACGATCAATGGAGATGAGCGTGGGATATCGGATCGCTCTCTTTGACATAAATGAAGGGGTTCGCTTCTTTGCATTTTCGTACTCTCACTTTTCTTTTCTAAACCATCACAATCATGCCAGTCCCGATGTCTGACTCGGGGAAGATCACTATCGCTATTGACCGCGGTGGTACTTTCACTGATATCTGGGCTAGCATAGGGCGGCCAGATGAGAAGAGTAAGTGGATCGGGATATCATTGATCTTATGGATGAAAGCTAAGAGGCAGTAGATGATTCCACAGAAGCCCCCAGTCGTCCAGACATCATCTTGAAGCTTCTCTCTGTCGACCCTTCCCACTATCAGGATGCTCCCACTGAAGGCATCCGCCAGGTCCTAGAGTTGGCCACTGGAGAATCATATCCTCGAGGCCAGCCATTGAAGCTTGATCGCATTGAGTGTCTACGAATGGGCACAACCGTTGCAACTAATGCCTTACTCGAGCGCAAAGGCGCTCGCTCAGTGCTTTTCACCACAAAGGGTTTCCGAGATCTACTGAAGATCGGTGACCAGTCTCGGCCAGCCATTTTTGATTTGTCGATGGCCCGCCCGGGAGTGCTACCAGAAGGCGTGGTCGAAGTCAATGAACGCGTACTCCCTTGCCATCCTTCTGCCGACGAAAATTGTTTTGCCGATTGTCGCATCGTTGAGGGCATAACTGGCGAGAAATTCCGGATTGTTCAAGAGCTGGACCTTGTTCAAGTGAAGTCAGAGCTCCAGCGACTAAAGGAGCAAGGCTACCAGTCACTTTCGGTAGCGTTATTACATTCTTTCGCTTATCCTGAACATGAGCGTCAAATTGGCGAACTGGCTCAGCAGATGGGATTCTCGGTTACGCTTTCCTCAAAGCTTCAGCCTATGATCAAAATTGTGCCTCGTGGCATGTCAGCCGCCGCCGATGCCTACCTCACTCCTGTTATCAAGACCTACATCGACTCCATCTCTGCTAGCTTTGAAGGCGGCCTGGAGAGTCAGCATGACTGCCGATTTGAGTTCATGCAGTCCGATGGTGGACTAGTCGATTTTCGCAAATTCAGCGGACTGAAAGCAATTCTGTCTGGCCCTGCGGCTGGCGTTGTTGGCTTCGCAGCCACCAGCTGGGATCCCACAGAACAGACTCCTGTTATTGGCTTTGACATGGGAGGTACATCTACTGATGTATCTCGCTTTGACGGTCACTTGGAGCATGTTTTTGGCTCTAAAGTCGCAGGTGTTTTGATTCAGTCACCCCAGCTGGATATCAACACTGTCGCCGCCGGTGGTGGATCTATTCTCAACTGGCGCAACGGCTTATTCTATGTCGGACCTGAATCTGCCAGTGCTCATCCTGGCCCGGCTTGCTACCGCAAGGGTGGCCCTCTGACAGTTACAGATGCCAACTTGTTCTTAGGTCGCCTGCTGCCCGAGTATTTCCCACACATCTTTGGTCCCAACGAGGACCAACCCCTGGACACCGAGACCACAGCACAACTTTTCAATGATTTGACGCAAAAGATCAATACTGAGCGCCGAGAGCAGGGTCAGCAAGAATACACTTCAGAGGAAGTTGCACTTGGTTTCCTGAAGGTCGCAGATGAGTCCATGGCCCGGCCAATCCGTAATCTTACAGAGGCACGAGGTTTCGAGACTGCATCTCACCATCTGGCATGCTTTGGAGGTGCTGGTGGCCAGCATGCATGCTCAGTGGCTGACTCACTCGGTATTTCACGAATCATTATTCACAAATATTCCTCAGTGCTGTCAGCATACGGCCTTGCTTTAGCAGAGGTTGTGAAGGAGGCACAGGAACCAGTATCATCCACCTACTCATCCTCCCATTCTGCTCTTCTTCAACGCTTTGATGAGATGGCAGCAGCCGGAACAAAAGAGATGGAAACCCAAGGCTTTACCGCCGCTCAAGTTCGCCACGAACAATACCTCAATATGCGCTACGAAGGTTCCGATACTAGTCTCATGATCTTGAAGCCCGAGAGCTCATCAGACTTCTTGGAAGAATTCCGCGTGCGCCACCGTCGTGAATTTAACTTCAACTCCGAGCGACCAGTTCTCGTGGATGACATTCGCGTGCGCAGCATTGCTTCGTCTAAGGTGCGAACGGAGCAGAGTCCTTTGGTTCAGCTAAAGAATGCCAATATGCGAGACGTCACCACAGCTCCAGCAAATACCAGCTCAGCTTATTTTGACGGCCATTCAAGCCGCATTGACACACCGGTGTATCTGCTGGGCGAGCTGGAGAAGCATTCTCGCATTTCCGGCCCGGCGGTCATCATCGATCAGACTCAAACAATTGTCGTGGCTCCTAACGCAGTGGCAAACCTCCTCGATACCTGCATAGTCATCGATCTCAAAGACGAGCCAACTGCGTCTCCCGCAGGAAGGTCTCTCTCAGCAGATATTGACCCTATCAGACTTAGCATTTTTGGTCATCGATTCATGTCTATTGCCGAGCAGATGGGTCGTACCCTGCAGAAGACTTCCGTTTCAACCAATATCAAAGAACGGTTGGACTTCTCTTGCGCCCTGTTCTCACCTGATGGAGGCTTGGTGGCCAATGCACCGCATGTTCCGGTTCATCTGGGATCGATGCAATTTGCCGTGCGATACCAGCACCAGAAGTGGCTGGGTAACCTGAAGGATGGTGATGTGTTGGTGGCCAACCACCCTAGCTGCGGAGGCACCCATCTCCCCGATATTACAGTAAGTCATTATCCGACCGTGGGTAGCTTTATTTGGTGCTGATCATTATTTAGGTTATTACGCCTGTCTTTGATCGGCCTGGAGGTTCCGAGATTATGTTTTACGTGGCATCTCGTGGCCACCATGCTGATATCGGTGGCATTTTACCTGGCTCTATGCCTCCGAAATCTACGGAGCTTTGGCAAGAAGGTGCTGCTATCGAAGGAGATAAGATCGTCAGTGATGGCATCCTGGACGAGGCGCGTCTAGTGGAACTGCTGGTCACGAAGCCTTCACAATACCCTGGCTGTTCTGGAGCACGATGCATCAGCGATAATATGTCTGATCTCAAGGCTCAGATTGCTGCTAACGCTCGCGGAATCAGCTTGATCCAGACTCTGTTCAACGAGTATGGAACCCAAACAGTGCAAAAGTACATGTATGCCATTCAAGCCACAGCGGAGACCGCCGTCCGCAATCTTCTCAAAGAATTATATCAGAAGTTTGATGGTCAGCCATTGGAATCGGTCGACTACATGGATGACGGTACTCCGATCTGCTTAAAGATCACCATCGACGGTACCGATGGATCTGCTGTCTTCGATTTTGAAGGCACAGGCCCCGAGGTGTACGGAAGCTGGAACGCTCCGATTGCTATCACTCACTCAGCTATCATCTACTGCCTACGCTGCATGATCAATGCAGATGTTCCGCTAAACCAAGGATGCCTGGCCCCAATTGACATCCGTGTACCATCACCGAGCATCTTGTCGCCAACCAAGACTGCAGCCGTCGTGGGCGGTAACGTCGTTACTTCACAGCGCATCACTGACGTGGTTTTCAAGGCATTCCAGGCGTGTGCTGCCTCCCAGGGCTGTTGCAACAACCTCACCTTTGGTACAGATCCCAAGGTTGATCCATCTACTGGTGCTCTGATTACTCCTGGATTTGGATACTACGAGACAATCGCCGGCGGAAGTGGTGCGGGCCCAACCTGGAAGGGCGAGTCTGGTGTGCAAGTGCATATGACCAACACACGGATTACCGATCCTGAAATTCTAGAGAAGCGTTACCCGACTATGCTCCGTCAGTTCACACTCCGTGAGGGATCCGGTGGGCAAGGCAAGAACCCTGGTGGTGAGGGAGTGGTCCGCGAGATTGAATTCTTATCGCCAATGAAATGTTCGATCTTGTCGGAGCGACGCGTGCATCGACCGTACGGATTGGAGGGTGGTCAGGATGCGCAGCCAGGATTGAACCAGTGGATCACTCGTGACGAAGAAACTGGTGAAGAGCGTCACATCAACATCGGCGGCAAAAACACTGTCTCTATGAAGACCCACGACCGGATTGTCATCAAGACTGCCGGTGGTGGTGGCTGGGGTTCTCTGAAGGCTCCATGAATGACTTAAGCGGAATTGTCATTGTATAAGTTGTCTAAAATATATAGGTAAATATAAATAGGCTCTATAATGTCTCATGTATCATTTATACTTTCTTCACAGTTTCGATCTTCCAAATGCTGGCCGCCACATCTCATTTTCCAGTCGACTGGTGTTGATCATCTCGGGCCGAAGTTGGTCGAGGGATGAAACCCCCAGCATCTTCATTGTGATTTCAACTTCCTCGGCGAGAACTGCGATGCTGTTAGCTTCTGATATAGTCTCTTGAATCAAGACATGACTCACTATCTGTGCATCTTTCCACTCCTTCAGCACCATATGCCGCGAGGGCATAGTAATATGGCCGACCAACTCCTACAGCAGTTGCTCCAAGACATAACGCCTTGAGGACATCTGCTCCATCGCGGAGACCACCATCAACAAATACCTCGAGCTTGTCAAATGCTTCCGGATAGTATGTACGAATCTCCAGGAGTGTCATCAACGAGCTCGGGGCGGAATGGATTTGTCTACCTCCGTGGTTGCTCAACAGAATACCCTGCACACCAAGTTCAACAGCCATTTTGACATCTTCGACGCTCTGGATTCCCTTGAGAACAAGTGGTCCATTCCATTCCTTTGAGATCCAGTCCAAGTCCTCCCAAGTAAGACCAGCATCCACTGAACCGGGGACTTGTCGGCCGCCGAATGCAGGCGCGTAACTGTTCTCACTATTGACTTCCCCGGTACCAGCTTTCAGGACAGTCTCTTTGGGACCTGCAAGATTCTCTTGTGCCTGAAGATAGCGGTCTGCCGTTCGCTTACCCAGCGTTGAAGTGTCCACGGTGACCCAGAGGCTCTGGAACCCGGCCTTCTTGACTCTCTGAATGAGGGACTTGGCCTTTGAGCGATCAACAGGGACATAAAGTTGGAATGAAAGCTTAGAGGGACTTTGGTTTTTGAGAAGCCGTTGTTCGTCGATGTGTGCATCCATGATCTCTTCCAATGTTTTTGTCGACGCCGTGCTGATCATGGTGTTCAGGCCTTTGCGAGTAGCACCCCGGACGAGCAAAGGCTCAGCCCCTGGATGGGAACTACCCAGGGTACCCATAGCTGAGACGAAGAAAGGGAATTGCGAGGTCGAACCGAGAATGGACTTTCTGGTGTCCATCTTGTCCACGCTCCTCAAAATGCGAGGCCGGAAATTGATCAGAGACCAGTCATCAATGTTGGCTTTCATTGACAGACCTGATGCTGCCGAGCTCGATACATACACCCATGACTTCTCTGAGAGAACATCCTTTGCGACCTTCTCAAAGTCCGTTGCGGTGACACACAGCGAAGGGTCGGGGAGGGTTTTGGCTGCCATTTTTTAAATTATTTTTCGAGATAATTGGAAGTCGATATCAAAGAAATACGAGCAAAGAAATACCAATTGTAGATATAAATGAATCTGATAACTCCGGCTCCTGTACGGGGCCGACTTCGGCGCCGGCTGTCGAACTTCGTCGGCTCGGCTCCGTCCCGTTTAGGAAAAAGCGATCGCCGAGTTACTGTTCACAGCTTAGCACACAAGCGATGCATCGTAGTGAGCTCTGATTTGCTTGGAATCTGGGGACCCCTTCTACCCCGGGTTTGGCTCTCGCCCGAATACAGTGGATCGTTGTACATATATCCCGAGCTTCCGAATAGTCTGACCTGTTGATCCTAGCCCTACTTTGTTTCTATTCATAGCGGAAATGGGGTTCCGAGCTATCGAGGATTGAACAACGCCACGGGAACTTTATAGCTGGTGATTATACTCTGAAGCTTTGTTGATTGCGATGGGATCCTTGTAGTATGTGATTTTCGGATATTTCGGCCGATAGATTGACTGATGCCGACTCAGATTTGGCTATGATTCTGCATTTTATAGGCACGACTATTACACGCGACAGTTTCCTTTCGGACTACAACATCACTAAGTACAAAGTAGTGCTATTTCGAGTAATATTAGATCAATCTTCTAGAACCATTTAGACTGGAGTTCAGAAGTAATGAAATTCTTCCGGCAATAACTAGCAAGGTCACTGTGTTGATATAATTTAATATCAACAAAATGGACATCGTCACTGCCTCTGGATGTGACTCGGCAATTTGTGGATGAACGCCCATAGTGTCATATATCCTGGCCTCACGAATTATTGGTCGCATATCGCTTTCACTCTCAGTGCGAGGTACTTTCCTAACGGTTTTTCCGTCTAGAAGATAGATACTTGCAAAGATACCAATGATCAAGATTGATCTCGCCAAGCCGCCGTTATTGTAGCAGAATGTCTATAATATAACACTGACCGATGCCAGGTGAGCTGCTAATGCGACAACTCTCACCCTTTCCTTAGAGATATTGGTAGTAGAAAGTGACTATTTGATGGGGGGCTCATTTTCAAGGGCATCATCTACGAAATGAAGAACCTTTTGCAACTGAATGATGATGACTTCTGCTAACGAATGTTTTTTTGGTATCTAAACCAAGTTCCTGAATAACTTCCGCAACAGTACCCACTTCTCAAGATTGAAACGCGAGTAGTTCGTAAATTGAGGTGCATGTCTCCTCAGCCGAAACAATGATCAAAGCCGCTTTTTCCTTTTCGAGTTCGAAGATCCAGGATGGGATCTTAATCTTGGCTTGATGGGAGACCTCAAAGTGCAACGAAAGCCATGAGGCTAAGAAGAGCTGTTCCAAACAGTCCACTTGCTAGCTCAATTGACTTGCCAGCTGAGCTTGTTGAAGGCGACGACTCAGCATTCGAGCTAGTAGAACTGCCTGTAGCAGACGCAGTTCCTCTCATAGAGGTGACTGACATATTTCCACTGCCCGAAGCCAAGCTGGGAGAAGTCATGCTGGCAGAGGAGTTGGATGTTGCGGAGGCAGAGGTGGCAGTAGCATCATACATGGTCGAGGTAAAGGAGCACTGGCGGACAATATCATTTGCGTCTATATGAATTAGGACATCTGCAATTTCATCTCACTAGGGCAACATACCGTTGTCCTTGCCGTCTTTACTGTACTTGTCCAGACAAGCAGCACAGTCTGGAATGTTCTTCGATGCGCGGGGGTCATTGCAGACACATTTAATCTCAGCCGCATCGTCGTTATTATTCTTCTTGTCGCAAGTGGAAGTGAGGCTGACAACAGGGGCGCAAATGTCCTTGCACTGAGATGGGATATCAGTTGAATCCACATCTTGAGCCACGACAGACGCAGCAAGGCCTAGCAGAGAGAAGATCAAGAAAGAACGCATTGTGATCAATGGAGCACGTTTAAGCTTTGGTTTCTTCGGATAGTGAATTTCTCGGTGTAGAGGAGTGTTTATAAGTCATTGCTGTTAGAGCTCCTTGGCTATCTACAATCATATTTTTGGAGCATGACCGTTGATCATCCAAGGCATCAGCTTTCCAGACTACGCATCAGAACTTTCAAAAATAACTTCAAACTTTAAACGGCTGCCTCGTTAGATCATTGGGGGAAATATGTCGCGTGCCTACAGGTTTCCATGCAAGGTATGAATTTTCAGTCACCTAGCAATACTCTCTACAGAAAATGATCGTCGTTGCCCCATGACATAATATAAATTCGTTTCAGTGAGCCGGTCGACACGACCAACCAGAAGATCATGCCAAGCACTATGTGTCTGTGATCACCACTACCCCAAAGATCCGACTAGTGGATAGGCCTTATCTTGGCATAAAGCTGGCCGATAATTCGTTGAATGAAACATAGATTTGCGAATTGAGTTATTTCCCAGCCTTCTCCAACTCAGGTACTATTTTTAATTTTCATGCGCGGGATCAACATTCAAAGAACATGATGTAACTTAGACCCTGTATTTATGGGCTAGTCAAAGCAGTTGCCTATTGGTTGGTTGACCAGATGGACGTGATGTATTTCTTACCATTCTTATTAATTATCTCTTGAGTGGATATAACCAGCCAGGGCATCGTTGGGTACCCCATACTCGGCTTACAATTGTACAAGCTCTCGAAGAACAAGCTCAAGCTACTGATAAATTTTCTCGAGCAAAGTACTTTGAAGAGGTATAGGCGGGAAGTGGAATAAAATTAGCCAACACGGGCCTGTTGAGCATATCTATATCGCATTACCTAGCAACTTGTTTGTGCTTAATTGGATCATGTACCTTAGAAAGGAGGCAGCTGACGCATGCTCGTAGTTCAGAGATGGTGATAAATAAGGAATGAACGAGTCTCGATGAGACCTCTCTAGCCCCAGCTAAATACATAAGCATAACCGCATATTTCCCATAATTCATTGAAGTGACAGTGAGCAGCTCAAATTTTTTCGAGCCTTCAGCTTTCCACGGCGTGCATCCCGCCATCAAAACCTGTTGTAAATTCTGTGAGTTTGTGGTCTCCTTCCAGATTATTTAAAGAAGTTCATATTCATACGGAAGCATTCGTTTCTGGGCTTCCATTGAAGCAGTAGGAGTGGTAGGAGTGGTATGAGTGGTAGATGACGCCCTTTTCATTGGCACCGACATGGACATGGATGCGGATGAAGACGTAGGCTGTTGCATACCCTGAAAAAAGGGTTAGACTAGATGGAATTGGCATATGACCATTATCATATTCATACCTTTTGGTGCTGTAAGAGCTAAAGTCAGTAAGTCAATCGTAAATAGTTGGGACAGATGAGACGTACTTCCTGGGCACCGCCATGAGGAATAGCAATAGCGGATCCCATGAACAGGGCACAAATAAATCCGAGACGCATGATAGAAGATTGTATAAATAGGTTGTTCAGATGAAAATTTGGCCAAGTTGGACTTGACCTAGACGTTTGATCGTTGGTAGAAGTGTACTTGGTCAGATTGAACCAGGGAGGATGAGCCTTTTTATAGATAAAAGGCTTGTCGGTCGATTTGATCGTTTCAATGGCTCCTTAGCTTCAGCGTCGTAACTGATGGTCTAAGAAGTTAAAAAAGAATGATGTGTTACAGAATTTGCCTGTCGTGGTGAAAGCGTTGCCAATCTCGAGCTTAGCTCGCCACCGAAATCCTAGAAACAAAGCCCAATTCATTTCACACAGGACTCTGACGGGTGCAGTACCAACTCTGATGTCAATGGAATGTGCGAGACGTGAGTTCCCATGCCCGGTGACGCGCATTCCACTTTCTTCGATCAACATTCCGGACCGCAAGAGGGAGACCTTTTGGTTGCGTCAAGAAAACTGTAACCCGAGAAGACTCTGAAACTATAGACATATAATATGACCTAAAAGGGCTATCACAAGCATTGTCGTGGATCAACAATATACATGTAAAGGCATCCAAAATGTAGAAACATTTTTCAGCCCTTTCGGTCTTTGCGATACCGTTGCCAACTCGTAAACATGAAACATGTTGACACCACAAGGCCCAGTCCCGCCAGTTCAATTCCCAAATACAGTGCACACCACGATAGCCACGAAGAATTTTGTGTCCTGTGTCATTGATTCGTTTCAACTGTGCCCGCAAATCCAAGGCTCAAGGAGATGGAGTAGTTGACCGTGGTAGCCACGAGGGTTGCAGCGAGCCTTTGATGGTGGCGATGCATAGAATTACTCAGAATTAGCGTTCCAGAGGGGAACGACATATCGCTAAACCCAAGTTAGTTAAACGCATGATCAAGGGCAAATGACGCTGGACAGGTTGATACATACATTCCCCAAGAGGTGACGATGCTCACCACGAATGCTTGTGCCCAGTAGGCTTGGTCGACAGGCACGGTGGCAAAGATTGAGAGACCAGCCGTGAAACATGCCATTGCGCAAAACATGATCACGCTGGGCGGAAGGCGACCAAGCAGGAATCCAGTAATAAGTGCCGCAATGGCACCGGAAATTGCCGCAGCAGACCATTTGGCTGTGGCCAAGAGCGCAGAATCCCCTTTGAATACTTCCATAAATTGATAGAAGTAAGATATGATGATACCAAAACATGACCAACCAGCTGCGATGCATCCAAGAACCCAGGCTAGATCGCCTGTAAAAGCAGCCCGTGGGAGCAACGGACATAGTGATTTGCGTTCAATCAATGCAAAGGCGCCGAGGCACAGAAATCCAACAATGAGAAGCACATAGGTGTAAGGGGTTTTCCAACCCATAAGCGCAGCCTGGTTCCAGGAAAAATTGATCAGCACCAAGCCTGAAATACCTGCAGTGGCTCCGGGGAGATCAAGACGCTGCCAGAAACGAAGATCGTCGCTAAACTTTGGTCGCGTACTGGGGGGCCTACTACTTTTCCAATTAAAGCTAGCATGGCACATGCGATTCCCATTACCCAATATGCCCAGGGCCACCAGACAAGCTGAGCAAAGATGGATGAGAAGACACCTCCCACAACGAATCCTCCAGGAGCGGTAGCGCCGAACAGACTGAAGATCATTTCCTTCCGTAGGCCCGGGGGATATGTACGTCCAAGAATTGCAATAGTGTTAGGAAGCAGTATAGCTGGTCCAATTCCCTGGAAAGCAGGACAACAGTCAAAGAAGATTTGGGTGGGCCAGACGCCAAACCCAGCCAGCAAGGACCACAGGCCAAACCAACAGAAGCCGATCACAAACATGCGACAATGTCCATACATATCCCCAAGTCGGCCTGCAACCAAAATGAATGTACCGACAATCAAACTATACGCAGCCGCAAACCAGCTCAGATTTGCGGGATTGGTGGTGCCAAAGCTACGGCCGATGATATAGCTGGAGCAATAGAGATGCAGAGACCGGTCTGGGTCATAAAAATTGCGCCATGCACACCACAGATACCGAAATGGCCTCCTGTAATAGCGAGTCTGGTGGCGATATCTGCGACTGCGAAGTCTCGAGCCGCGTTAAAGCCTCATCATTGCCATGCGTGGGCGCCTTTTCTAGGTTGATGGGGTCGACATGTTCATGGGACGAGTCTATATAATCCAAGGTCAAAGAAAAGACGAGATTGAACAAATATAGAAGCTACAGGAACATGGCAAGAAGGTCTCTCTATCAGATCTGGTGTGGATCCCGAGCTTAACATCAGTCGGGTCCGGATCGGACGGCTGACATTAAGCTTAGATTGGCAGTTAACTACTTAGTGAGTACTGATTACTGAGCACTAGGTAAATGGCAATTGAGTAGTTGATTATTGAGTCATTCAATCGCTAGTAACGTTTACAGGTGAATGAAGAAAAGAACTCCTGGGCAATTTCACACTTGTGCTTCCGTAGTTGCATTTGACTTCAAATATGGTATTGGCCAACCTGGAAAGCATTGAATGATGTTGAGGTCAGGATAAACTATTTCTTCTTGCTATGCATAACCAATTGTAGCCGAATGTGAGTATCAAGGGATCCAAAGATTCAAAGATTCTAACTTATACTTCACCTGAGTATGGTTACATAAGCCAATCACATGCCCGGACATCAGGATGAATTTCTCCGTCTTATCTCCTTCAGCTTCCAGCTTTCATTGTTATGGTCGCCATGGTGCCTTGGCTGGTCATGGCGCGCATTCTTTGAATTTCATTCTCGCTTCATCTTGTTTTCGTGGCTCAGTTTTTGCTGATATCCTAACATTCCAGAGAAAAAAATAAGTTGCAGCGGGTTCCAAGTCTACATCTTGACTCGATGACAAAATCACCACCGATTGTGTTTATAGCCAGGTAAATCTCATTTGCCTCGTGCATTGCGTCTGCGCTGCTAACTGGGCTGAAGACATGGCGCCCGCCTCGATGCTGCAGACAAAGACTGGCATCTTACCTCCCCTACGCCTTACGACCCGCCTCTCTCCTACGGTGGGTGGATGCAAGCTCGCGCCCTAGGTGTACGGATCGGAAGTCTACTGAAAACCCGGCAATTCACCGGAGAAGACTCGCAGGGCCAGCATCATCCGACCTCGGATGATCAGGCCAGCCTAAATCCCGCCCCCGCATCTTCGGAGTTGTACGACCGATATAACGTCATTGTCCATACCTCTCCATACCTGCGATGTCTTCAAACTGCCATTGGTGTCAGTGCGGGTATCAGCTCACACCCTATCGAGACACATGAGTCAAGCCCTTCCCTACTGTCAGCCTCGTCAAACCCCGACCTACGATGTCTGCTTCGCGTCGATGCATTTTTGGGAGAATGGCTGTCACCAGACTACTTTGACCAGATCACGCCACCTCCTAGCTCGGATAGAATGGTGGCTTGTGCCAAAGCGGAATTGCTGCGTCGTGCCGAGGTCATCCCTGCTGCGGACGGGTCGGCAAGGGCTTTGTCAGGTCATTTTCCCGGTGGCTGGGGCAGTCACTCTCATCCCAATTCACCCACAACCGAGGAGGAGGAAGGCTTGCATTCTAAATCGAACCAACACGGTCCACGACAACGTGCTAGCACATATGACACCCAACAAAACCCCGTCCATGCCAAGGATGCGAAGAAGCCTCTGGGCCGTCTAAATACAGACCTACCGTCCAGTCTAGATGCGTCCTATATACCCCCCACGCCGAGCTATGCGGTCTCTTCTTCCGATCCCATTCCTACCGGATATGTTGCCCATGCGCGGAACGCATGCACGAGGATCGATTACCAATGGGACAGTTTGCGCACACCTTACTGGGGAACTGGAGGTGAATATGGCGAAGAGTGGAGTACTATGCATGAACGTGTTCATGATGGGTTCCAGCACATGGTAAACTGGTACCAAGCACAGGGATCATCTGACCATAGGTCTGAGAGCGCCTCGAATGGAGCAAGCACCGACGGTGATGCGCAAACGGTCCTCGTTATAATCACACATGGCGCGGACTGTAATGCGTTGATCAGCGCATTGACTGGTCACGCGGTCCTCCTTGATATCAACACGGCCTCACTCACCATGGCTGTACGACGCGACCGCATCAAGAACCCCGCCACGGAGGATGCGCGTAATTCTCCGGAGCGCGTGGGGAGCCAATCGGTCTCACGGGAATACTCCCTGCAGCTTGTGGCGTCCACTGATCATCTGCGTCCAGGAATCAACCCCTCACAGCTCACCTCGCTGGTGTCTCCCTCCGCACCACAGCCTGTTCCATCAGCTCCGGTCTCGTCCTATCGGCATCGACTTACTTCTCGCTCATCGCTCCTCCAAGGCACATCAGCAACTGGGCCGCCGCTGAATTCCATAACGAGTCCTCGTGGCTGGACGCTGACCATGCGCCCGTCAACTAATCCTCGCGGTGCCTCTGGGCTCTGGGGTTCGATGTCTCCCGACAAGACCGACAAGACCGAGAGGACCGAGAAGGCCGACGACACAGAGGACGACCTTGTGCCAAACTTTGGTGACCGTCCAGTTAGCCAAGATTCAGCGCTTCCTGAGAAGCCTATGGGTGGCTGGACAAAACAGTTACCACAGCGAACGCTGTCGCAGCGTGGTTTATGGGGGAGCGCACAATCGTTGGAGGATCGTGAGGGCGGACCACAGCGGCGATGGACAGTGACGGAGCAGAAGTTATGAAATTATGTGTAAATTCTAGGATACCTCATATGCATGGTGGGCGTTTTGCTTTTTATTTTTATTTTTTGCTGTTTTTTTCCCCTTCATGATAGCTCAACTCATTGACACCCCAATCTTCAGGCAATAAATCCAAGGCACCCAGCCACCCAGGCACTCGGGTGGCGGTTCCCCTCATTGTGTTTGTCCCATCTCCCCTTCTCCCCTGTAGCTATTCTTTGTATCTTTCTGGACCTCTTGGACTTCCTTGGGTTTCACATGGCAAGCCTCGACACAGACGGCCACTCCGTCACTTATTGCTCAGATCGAACCGGATCCCCGGATCTACGGCTGATCCACTACAATGATGTTTATCACGTCGAGTATGCGCCTCTCTCATCCAGCTCGCCACCCTGCTTTGAATGGAACTATACTAACACATTCTACTTAGGTCTGGCTCTGCAGAACCTATTGGCGGGATATCTCGATTCCAATCCCTCGTGAACTACTACCGATCTCACTCGCAATTCGCCGGGCAGCCCGATATCCTCACCTTCTTCTCCGGCGATGCATTCAATCCGAGTATCGAGAGTACAATTACAAAAGGCAGACATATGGTACCATTTCTCAACACAGTGGGCACCGATGTGGCTTGTGTGGGTGTGAGTATGGCAACCAGCAATCCGCCTGGCATGTACACCGCTAATTCATCCAGAATCATGACCTTGATTTTGGAGTGGTCCAGTTCCGGCATCTTGCGAGCCAATGTCATTTCCCGTGGCTTTTGGCAAATGTGCTTGACCCGGCGTTAGGAGACGGTGTTCCAATCGCCGACTGTGGTAAGACCCGCATATTGACATCGTCGAACGGGATCAAGATTGGCGTGTTGGGTCTAGGAGAGAGAGAATGGTATGCATTCCAGACGATACGCTCTTAGCATCTTCGGCTTACACGACTTTTAGGCTCGGCACAATCAACGTACTTCCGCCTGATCTGATTTACAAATCCGCGTCTGAAACAGCTCGAGCACTTGGTAAGCAACTCCGGGAACAAGGAGCAGACATTGTCGTCGCTGTCACCCATCAACGCGAACCAAACGATCATAAATTAGCCAGCAATCTATCGCCTGATCTTGTCGACATCATCCTCGGAGGACACGACCACTTCTATGCGCATTCCATTGTCAATGGAATTCATGTCTTGCGATCAGGGACTGACTTCAAACAATTCAGCTATATTGAGGCTTTCCGCAAACCTGGTGGGAAAGGGGGCTGGGATTTCAACATCGTGCGGCGAGATGTAGTTCGCTCAATTCCTGAGGACCCTGATACGGTGAAGTTGGTGGCCCGGCTCACATCCAGCCTCAAGGCTAAACTGGACAAACCAATTGGGTTCACCGTTAGTCCCCTCGATGGTCGTTTCTCTACTGTACGCCAGCGTGAATCCAATCTAGGTAATTTTGTCTGCGACCTAATGCGCTTCTACTATGCCGCCGACTGTGCCATGATGGCCGGTGGCACCATTCGCGGCGATCAAATCTACCCGCCAGGGATTTTGAAGCTGAAAGATTTGTTGAACTGTTTCCCTTTTGAAGATCCCGTCGTGCTGCTACGCCTCAGTGGTCAGGCATTGCTGAATGCACTTGAAAATGGGGTTAGCCAGCTCCCTGCACTCGAGGGCCGGTTCTCGCAGGTGTCGAATATCAGCTATGGGTTTAAGCTCACAGCGCCCCCGGGCTCGCGCATTACATTCGCGCGTATCGGTAGTGAACCCATTGATCTGCATCGTGATTATGTCCTCGCGACTCGTGGATACATGGCGCGAGGTAAAGACGGATTTTCCGCATTACTAGTTCAGTCTGAAGGAGGTGAGGTGGAGGAGCTTGTTGATGAGGAAAACGGTGTGCTCATTAGCACCATTCTACGCCAATACTTCCTAAGTCTGAAGGTGCTCGGTAAATGGAATCGCTGGAGCGCCAGTTTGCGCCGACATTGGGGTACTGTCCATCGCAACCTGCACGGTGAAGGCTGGCTAAAACCGCCATCCGCCGCGACGTCTCCCAAAGCCGAAAAGCCCCCAGTCAAGAAGCTAGGGTCACGACCTGCTCTTAAGCGGACAAACCATGCAGAATACTATTACGGTCGATTCCCTGAAGAGCTTGAACAGGATATCAAGGCTCTCACTGGGGATGAGGCTAATGGCGACGCCATGGACTCTGATTCCGATGAGAATCCGGATATACTGACCTCATCGCAACCATTCACCAACTACGTTACCTTGCCAGCGCAGTCCTCCGCCGACGAAGAGCACCGCTTGCAAATTGCGCGGCGAGTTGTCCGGAAGTGGATGCGGCACGCAGGACTACAACCTACAACGTTGAACACCATGGACGGTGAGGGAGAGTTCACTCCAGCCTGGACGTCAGGTATCTCTCCTCGGCTGGAGGGACGAATTGTGGAGGAATAGACACGCCCCTCGGCGTTCCTTTCGGGCATTTCATTTTCGGGGTCTGTTTATATGTTCGGTTCTATATTTGCGTGTTCTCCCTATCTTGCATCATGCATAAGCACTAGATGAGGCCTCTCGGCGTTTTTGCGACTGGCGAGGTTGAATGCATAATACCAGGCTTTGGTTTAGTCGGCTTTCTTCTTAGGAATCTCCTTTTGCAATAGATAGTCCCCTCCTCTCCAGGCTTTGTAGACTCCGTACAATCCACTGAATGGCCAGACATCCCAAAGAGCTCGTTTGACCATTCCCTTCCATCCACTTTCGAACACCCCGCGATGCGCACCCGGGAGATCCGATTCGCGCACCCGTACCTTGTCATACAGCGTGGGAAGGTGTTGTGCATGGTACTTGCTACGCAGAGTATCGTAGTCCTCTTTGTTGTAAATTTTCCAGAACTCTGCCTCTGTATAGTAAGTATGTGCATAGAGCCATTTCTTTCCTCCAAGGCTATGAACCTTCTGTTCGAGCTGCCGATTTTGAGCCACAAATTCGGCTTGTCCAGTGGTGGTTGATGGTCCCCAGATTCCGAAATTCATCAAAGTTGTTCTCTCTGGGTTCGAATCATCTGCTTTGCTATGGTTCATCGTCTGTCCTTCCAACCCACCGGCGCTTCCAGGGGGTAGTGGGCAGAGCCAGAGAGGATATTGCCCAAAGTTCTCGGGATGGTCCAGCCAGTCCAGGAACTCGGAAGCGGTAGATACTGGCACGCCGACGTCTTGAATGACATACTGGCGTGCGAGACCACTGACATGCAAAGCGTGGTACATCACCCGGGTGTACATAAATCGGTTGAGGAGCCAGCGCGTAAGTGGGATGAACGGGACACAGAAGTAGCGGAAAGCGTAACGGGCAACCCAGAAGCCACCCCGGTCATAGCGGAAGAGATAGTCTGTCAGAGGAATGTAGTCCACTGCATCTGGAGTGTGAGAGCCAGCTTGCTTGGTGAGAGATTTGGTGATCCGTTCGACGTGCAAATAAAACCAATCATCTTGTCGACGAGTGAACCGATGGACTGTTAGATTGGGACTTTTGCTCACTTGTCGTCCAGCGCAAACAACGATCTTGTTCTTTGAGTAAACGATACCGTCGAGATATTCAGTCTTCGGATCAGCACGAGCCGCCTGGAAGTCGCACAGTGCATCTTTCATATTTGAACTGACATAGTATTTCAATTCGATCAAGGGTTCTGCCTTCTTTAATCGAACCTCCAACAAGGTGACCACTCCAAGAGTACCAAAGGAAGATGCAGCGCCCCAGAACAAGTCCGATCGTTTGTCCTCGATATCCTCCCTCAACTCGACGCGGTCATTGAAGGCCTTCACCACCTGGCCATCCGCAAGAACCATTTCAATCCAATTGACCGTATGATCAAAGAACCCTTCCCGAAACGAGCTGCTCTCGCCCGACGTTCCGGAGAATCCGCCTCCGACGGTGATACCCGGAAACTCCATAACGACGAGCGGGACCAGGCCCAGAGATCGGGAGGCGTGCACAAGGGCATCCATCGGGACATTAGGCTCGACCAGTGCCGTGCAGCTGTCTGCATTGATCTGCAAAATATGGGTGAGATCTGCAATGCTCACTGTGGTAGATGCTGAGTGATTGGAGGGTCGCGTGCTATTGGTTGCGCCATGGTAAATGCGAAAGGGTTGTTGGCGGCGGTAGAAGTCAGTGACCCGCGCCGATATCTCCTGCACAGCTTCAGAATGAGTCATGAGGGAGGCCAATGCAGGATGCAGGATGCAAGGGAGTTGAAATGGAGAAGGCCGAAGCTCGGTTTCCCCGCAAAAATCTTATCGATAAAGAGATTTAGCACGCGTTAGGGCTCTTTCTAGTCGAAACAAAGTGTTAAAGCACTTCGCTGCTAGATCAGGTCGGGTTAAGCCTAAGATTCAATATAGTATAGAGAGAGGTGCACGTTATAGACCTTAGAGATAGAAGATAGAAGAAGATGGAATTGGACTCGCTTAAACTACAGGTATCATAAAGTCATTATTGAACTCCAACTGGGCGTGCTCCTGAGAGGTTGACCACCCGGCCCCCTCCGGCTCCTCCTGCTCCCCCTGCTCCTCCATTGGCTCTAGGTGCATTGAACCCGGTAGGCGGAGGCTGAACCCAGCCAGGAACGCTGGAATCTTCGTTCTCATGCGAAAAGATGGTCTGCCAAACATTCGGGAAGCCTGTAGGCAAGGCGCCTCGGAGTCGGGCACCCGGAATGGCGAATCGAGGGTTGCGGTGGGTGAGGTACCCGCGCATCAAACCTTGTGTCAGGAGGGATGCAAATATCGACTCGATTTCCCGCATCAGAGGAGACGGGGTGTGGGAATATCTGCTGTCTTCGGGTTCGTCGGAATATGGGTACACGTCGCAGTCGCCATAATCATCATATGGCTCGCCATCCACCAGTTGACCGGTTTCACTGGGCTGCCAGTACCCTTCATCATTATAGAAGCCATCCGGGGCGATGTAATCGCCATATTCTGCGAGTATTTCGCTATCCTGGGGACCAGTATACTCATCTTCCCCTGACAAGCCCGCGTACTCGGAATCTGTGGGTTCGAAGATGACCTGTGAACCATATTTGTTGAGAGCTGCTGTGGCACCAGCCGGGTCATTCCCGGATAATGCATGCTGTGATTGAAGCCATCGCGTTGCTACAACGGCCTTGTTGAGATAGAGATACGGGGGAGGTCCGCGTTGCGCCTGCGCCTGCGGATCTCCGTGGAAACCTCCGTTGATGAAAACTTTGCGCGCAAAAGAACGCCATACAAGAATCTCGCATCGATTGCGGAGAGTGAGCAAAATTCCTTTGCGGGCGAACCATTCAGCGGTGGGTGAGCTGAGGGAGAGATGCTGTCGGAAGGCAAGGTAATCTCCTCGAGTGATCAACCGACATAGAGGTTCGAATTGTTCGGCAAGACCGTGTGCCTCCGGTCTTTGCAAAAGCGCCCGGGAGGGGAATCGGCCCAGTATGATGTTGCATGGAATCAAATAGGTGAGGATTAGGTGTCGTTGGCTTGTTGCCTGGCGGTGGCATTGGTCATAGGCAGCCTGCAGTGCAGTCTGAGCAGGGAAAAAGAGGTTGTTGGCGAAGAGGTAGCGACCGAGGTAGTAGAGGTAGGTAACACGCTGCGAGGCAGGGAAGTAAGCCAAGGGGGGCGACTGCGCGGTGATGCTCGCAAACATCTGTTCAGCGTTGCGAAGCTTGCCGCACTATTTTTCGTCAATAAGAATATGCGGTGGGAAAGGACCAAGAGACCTGCATACCTGGAAGAGAAGTTTTAGACACAAATTGGCCATGAGATAGATACCGATCCGTTTGCCCTCTGGCTTGCCGTGCGGGCCAGGAGTGCCGGTACGGTCAGTCAAACACTTGATAAATGCTTCGCGCACCACATTTGCCGATTTTTCCACCAAAGTCACTTTCTCAACCGTATCATCTTGGTCTGGTTGTCCTTCCATGCGTAGGATATGCGCGATCAGATCCGGTCGACGATCGAGACCCATAGCCAATTTCGCCAGGACTTTGGACAAGTAGAGCACAGTAGGAAGAACAACGACGCCCATCTGGCTATCTCCAAGGGCGAGCACACACTGGCTAAAGTTGTAAGAAATTGAGTCAGTGATCAGGCTCGTTATTGCGGGCATGTTGCTGCGCGCATTAGATCTCTGTGGGTTAGAACCTACTTGAGCAAAGCTTTCAATAAATTGTATGTCTCCAGCAAGTTTTCCGTCTTCACATCGCGCAGAAAGGTCAGGTAGAGCTTGAGAAAAGTCGGAAAGGCGGTCCACGAGGAGCTACCCTTGGATCGCGGCACGAGGCGATCACATCGTTGGAGAAGCTCGGCATCAGATTTGGGACATGGGGGGAAGTTATTTCGTAATTCCTCGATCATGCGCTCATAAATGTCGGAGAGGGGCGGCTCGATCTGAAGGAAGTCCTGTACTTTAGCACCGTCGCGATTCTGGACCAATTCCCCAAGGCTGCCGAGGAATTGGTCAAGAACGGGGGTAGGACCCATAGTGAAAGATGAGGCTGATCGCTCAGGCTGTTTATCGCAGCGGTCTAAAGAGACTCAAGAATGAAAGATCATGGCGCCCATGAGGAAGTTGACAAGGAAGTGTCAACCTTGAAGACTGCGGATGGCATTGTTGGCAGAACGAGGTTTACCGCCCAGGGTTTGTATACAATGCCATCAGATTTTCGAAGAGGGTTTCTACTCAATTCACCAATGCCATTGGGTAATTTAGTTCATGATATACCAATATTTGTAGTGCAGATTATGTATTGGTTTGGTCAATTTGAAAATATCTCCTCATGGTATCTACCAATTGCGGTTTCGATCTATACATACCAGATCTACACAGACGGCGAAGATGTCTACCTGCTTTCTAAGAGAAGATCGCATTGTCCCCTCTCGCGGCTTTGCTCGGCTACCATTCGAGCTGAGGTGTACTTTTTGTCAGAAAAACATGTGAAAGTAACACTTCAGAGCTGTGTAGGTCGCACATAGCCCCATCCAGAGCTTGAAACGTCTAGTCTTCTATGAATTGACTCTTGTGACGGCATCCCGAGGAAGATATCTGTGGATCCTGCGGCCTAGAGAAGCAAATAGCAGTAAAAGAAGCGTGTGGATAGACCAAAGGCCCCTGATCGAAGTATGAAATTCTTGGAATCTTCCGACATGATGTCATGTCTTCACATGAAAGCACTGAAGCGTCCAACGTCGTATAAATATTCTCCCGGCTCTCACCATTTCTTTTCTCATCTTCAAACATGGCGGCCTCTAGCAATGAGTCGTTTATCCTGGCACTGATCCGGCATCCATTTGTAGAAACCTTTACCTGGTTCTACATGGCTCTGCAGGCAGTCCTGGTCTACGTCTTTTCTCCCGTTCCCCCACCCCCAACCGCTCAAAACGCCAACATCCCTCGCAAGAGGGTCGCAGTCATTGGTGCTGGATTGACTGGAGTGTCCTCTGCTGCCCATTGTGTGGGTCATGGCTTCGATGTGCAACTATTTGAATCACGACCTAAGGAACAAGGTCTCGGAGGCATCTGGAGTGTAGGATTTTCCCTGCTTAGTGAAATATAACTTCAACTAACAAGCTATAGAGAGTCAACTCAACCTCTGCATTGCAGGTCCACAGTCTCATGTACAGGTTCCACCCCTCTGTCCACTTTGACAGCGCATATCCTTCCCAGCAGCAGATCAAGGAACAGATTATCAAGGTCTGGAAACACTATGACTTGGAAGGACGTACCGCGTTTGAGACCCATGTCACTTCCGTGAAAAAGAACAAGAACGGCAAATGGGTCATCAACGACGACGAAAGCCAGTACGGCGTCTTCGACGGTATCTTGGCTACAGTAGGCGTGTGTGGAGACCCTAAGATGCCTCCACTGCCCAACCAAGAAAAGTTCAAGGGGGAAATCTACCATTCCTCTAATCTGGATGGCAAGAGTGCCAAAGGAAAGAAGGTGTTGATTGTTGGAGGCGGCGCCAGCGCCATCGAGGCACTAGAATTTGCTGTCAAGAACGGTGCCGCCGAGATCGACGTCTTGTCTCGGTCAGACAAATGGATCATCCCTCGAAACGTGCTCGTGCAATCCCTGCTGGCTTGCAACATCTTTGGTCAGGAGATTTCTCTCTCATGGATTCCCGAATGGTTGCTGCGCAAGTTCTTCTACCGGGACCTCCAAGACATTGCGCCGACTGAAAAGGGAATCTTCACACAGACTCCCATGGCCAATTCTGAATTATTCGACCAGATTCGGGAAGGAAAGGCGCATTGGCTGCGAGGCGATATTGTTTCAGTGGAAGAGAGGGGTGTGACATTCAACTTCCGATCCAAGGGTGTGCCCAAGGGAGGCCCTGGCCAGGAGCGCCTGGTTGAGGGTGACATCATTGTCATGGCGACTGGCTTCAAACGACCTTCATTGGCCTTCTTGCCGGAGGAGGTTTTCGAAGAACCGTACGGCCCGCCCAGCTGGTATCTCCAAGTCTTCCCACCCAAATACCCGGACATTTGCGCAAACAATAGCACCTACGTTGACGCCATTGGAACAGTGGGCAACATGCATATCGGAATCTACACACGATTTTTGCTCATGTTCCTGACTGACCCATTGACCCGTCCCACTGAGGCTTGGATGAAGACCTGGATCGATTTCACACGGTTCATGAAGCGTCTGGCACCCACGGGAGCGTTTGAGTTTTTCACCTATGCTGAACTGATTTACTGGTACTTATTTGTTCTGGTCATCAACCCATTCCGTTGGAAGTGGGCGTTATTCGTGTTCTTCGGTATCGGCCGTGGATTGCCCTTGATGGTCGTGGAGCAGGAAAACGCCTTCCGCAGGGAGTTGGAAAAGCAGCGCCCAAAGAATAAGACTCATTGAATGTGTGAAATAAGAGATGTGGCCAACATAGCAGGCGATTGATTTGCAGCGAAAGCAGCATAGCGATGAAGCCAGGACTTGGGTCTTGATTTGTTTTGAATGAATAAAGAAACCTCCACAGAGATCTTCAATGCATGTAATATGAAGGAAAGCAAGTTCAGTGCATACATTAAGTCACAGGTATCCATTAACAGCAACCTTGGAAGATTTGAAAGCTAATTCCGATGTCAGTGCTCTTTAATCTCTGATATTTTCTTCTCCATGTTGTAAGCCAGGTTCCCCCCTTGTAGAAAGCTACCTGGGATATAACGCTTTTCTTCCAGCCACAATATCGGCCAAAGCAACATGACACCAGCAACACAGAAGAGCGTTGCAATCAGGTGCCAGCCAAAAACAAGCCAGTATCCAATGTGTGGCATGATGAACTTGATAAACTCCGAGGTTTGGTATAGATCTTCTTGCTGGGTGATGTAGTAAAGTCTGTGGTCCCCATTGGTCGTGGCATCGCTCGTGGGAGATTCAAAAGTCAAATCCAAGACAGTGGTGAGGCTGACTGGAGCAACATGGAAAGGAACAAGCCAGATAGAGAAGATTTGTGACATATTCACATAAAGTTTGAGCTTTTCCTCGTCGAATGCTACAAAGAGGTTAGATTCTTTACTCTTCTATCACCGTCGCGTAGTGACATACCGATAGAATGGACCTCCAACTCGATTCGGGGCGACATAATCTTGTACCACTGAAAGATCTTTGCAACCCACCATCGGCTCCCCTGGAAGCTGGGAACCCGACAGAAGGGATGGACAAAAGATGCATTGTTGGTGTAGAACCGCCCCAGGACAGTTTCCTGCACAGACGGCGGCGACTGCGTCAGAAGACGGATTACCGTTGGGATTTCAGCCACTGTAGACCATTTTAGTTTGACAACACTAGAAAACACCACGTCTATAACGTACCAGGGTTCTCCATTTTAGTGCAAGAGTGTTGCAGAGAGAAGAAACGAGCCGAGCAAGATATCAAAAGGTATGACATCATGTCCTTTCACATGTGAATCAGGGCCAACTTGCCAAGTGTAACATTTCTATTCTACTCTGTAGTGCGCCTTGTCATTTAAAATTAAATAATTAATAATAGGGAATTTCTAGTTTACACTGCGTTTCCAGGCTTTATCAGAATTCGTCGGCCGCAAATTGATCCATGGATGGCTATACAACCGTAAAATATAGATCAAGACTACCACAACTGACAGTTATTAAACATGCACAACCTAAAGTGGCCACGACTTGTTCTTCTGAACGTGCTTTGATTCTGTTTAATAACGGCCTGGTGTATCAGTCTGAATTCCAAAGGCGGGACTATATTGTCGAAATTACAATTTTCTTAACTTCGAGCATATGGCTTCACAGGGCGGCTCGGCGTTTCCAATATACCCATACGACAAGGTGTCAACTACACCGAGGACAATGCGATGGTCTCGGTTCCCAAAAACATCTTCCAGGCCGAGCCCTGGAGGAACTAGCTGGTTGCAAACAGTATCAAAACCAATGCGGGATAGAATTCCCGGCCCGTCGTGAGTCAAAGAGTCCACAAACAAGGCGTAAGCAATGGGGTTGATCAACATAGTCTCATGAAGATAGAAGCTCCCAGCAGGCTTTCCAGGACATGCAAGCTGGATTTGCGTATTTGTCACGCCCACATTGCGAGCCTCATGGAGAGTTGCTGAAGCATTGGGGTCACTTTGAGGCTGCACAATCTCATAAACGCTAGAATATACACTAGTTGTTAGGACATATGGGGAATCTCCACCGTCGGTACGAAGGGCGTGGATCAAATTGGATGGTCAGCGCTCTAAAATTCTGTTGAAGTTCATAAAATAACGAATATATGCAGCAGTATACTTGGATTGCTATATTGAGACCCAGCATACAAGTTCGTGAGACCGTAAGCAATGTTGATAGTAGAAGACAGATTACTTCGATTTTCACCATAGGGCCAAACGCTCTATCTCTCCCTACATAGCGAGGTATATATAGCATGCAAGATGTCAGTGCATATATGAATAGATCATATGCTTCAAGGGGTGTTATATAAGATAGGTACAGATATGTAGCAGGTCAAACCCGACCTTTTAACCAAAGAAACTCCGATAATGGTCAATATCATTCACAAGAAACGCCTTTTGGACTTGGAAATTGCTCTCCACATGAGGCCACGATTTACCGCTTCCAGCTGTCAACCTTCTTTCGTCGCTTATCGAAGATTTGGCCCATGCCCACGCCATCACTACGTTGGCCATCCTCGTTAACCTTTCGTTTCCGGCTCTTCTCCAGCGCGGCACCGCTGCCTTTGGCTCTCCGAGTGAGGCGCTCAATATGATCCGCGCCTTCATTGAGACCCTTCCATTCATCGCCTCCGAATGTGGTATCCTTTCCACGACCGCGTTTGGCCAAGTCCTTCTTGGTCTCCTTCGGCAAACGGACAAAGTTGGTCTCTTCGTAGGTAGTGCGCTCGGCTTCACGCTCGCGGTCTTTCTTTGACTTGGTCGTTCGGCCACCATCGATAATTGTGCTACCAATACTGGGCTCAGCCATAGGCGCAGAGGACATCTCAGCGCTGACGAATTCGTCAATGACATTGGATCGAAGGGGTCTGCGGTCTTGGCGTTCGCGACGCTCTGTCGTAGGCAAAGAAGTCGGCATGATCCTCGGAGGGCGGTAAATGCCATCACCAGGGCCCTTGTCGGCTGCCTTGGAGGGTTGGGCCTTCTTCTGCTCGGCGACTTGCTTGGAGAAGGCAGAGACATTGGGACGATAGGCCATTTCATCAATATCCTCTTCATCGTCGCTACCACTTTCATCGTCTGACGCTTCATTATCCGAGTTTGCGGCCTTGCGGCTCTTTGACTTCGTGGGCTGAGCCTTCTCAGATCGTTCCGCATCCTCGGCGGCCTTGATGACCTTATCTACCTGGTACTTCAGGCGTCCCTCGAGAGGGCGAACACCCCGCTCAAGGAAGACCCGCAGCTCGATCAATTTCTTCCGAATATCATCTTCGAGAGAGTTGTCCGCAGATTCGGCCTTCTCTTTTGGGCTTTGCTTCGAGGTTTGTCGCAATTGGAAAATAATCAGGAAAACAAGGTTGTGTAGGTAGGAAAGCAGGATCTCGCTCTTGGTGTCGAGGAGGGAGATGCCGTCCTGCGGAGGCTCGATCGTGACATCGGTAGGCGCATCTTTATGTGACTTGGGTAGAGAAGTGGGTGTGTTCGATAGACATGTGTTCAGAGTCTCAAGCAGTGCAGCCAAATTCAAAGGGCGCGAGGGCACCTGAGAAGTCATGATTGCAGATGTGCAGATATGAAGATGCGAAGATGCGAAGATCAATAAATTCGCGGGAAATTTTTGTCCTTATCGTTATCAGTCACGTGCAGAGGCGCCGGAGCTGTCCAGGTGTCAACTCTCCTTCTCTCTTGTGCATCTTGTTGTCTTGGTGGATTTCCCACGGATGAGACCGTGATTCTCTCTTTTCGTGGTAGCTTTGACTGTATGCAATCTGTCACCCTTTTATCGAACCTGAGCTTTACCGCCATTTCTAAACAAACCATCGAGCCTGACTTGCAAGGCGGGCCCCATATTATTTGGAACGCTCACCATGCGGTTCACCGATCGGGCCTCGCTCCTCGCATCGGTTCTCCTTGCAATTCCTTCTTTCACATCAGCCTTTTACCTCCCTGGTGTCGCCCCAACATCCTACGATGAAGGTCAATCAGTTCCGCTCTACGTCAACCACTTGACGCCCGGTCTCTCGCGCGACGACCAGCTCCATTCCGTTTTCTCCTACGACTACTACCACCCAGCATTTCAATTCTGTCGTCCGGCAGATGGCCCCAAGGATGTAAGGGAATCATTGGGGAGCATTCTGTTTGGTGACCGGATTCGCACCTCACCATTCGAGCTTCACATGGCAAAGAACGAGACCTGCAAATCGATCTGTGCAGAGGCCAAATTCGACGCCCGCAGCGCTAAATTTACCAATCGACGAATTTCCCAAGGTTACAACATCAACTGGCTTGTGGATGGGCTGCCGGCTGCGCAGTGGAATTACGACGGTGTTACCAAGACCAAGTTCTACAACCCTGGTTTCTCCCTTGGTGATCTCGATGATAGTGGACAAGCTCTGCTTAACAACCATTATGACATTGTGATTGACTACCACAAGGTGGGCTTCGGTGGCAAGGATAAATATCGCGTTGTTGGAGTGCTTGTCCAGCCTGAATCTCGCAAGAACTCTCGGAACTTGGATGACGGAACCGCTGAGTGCGGGACTCAGGGTGACGTTCTCACGCTGAGTGAGGATGGCGAAACAACTGTTACCTGGACATACAGTGTTTACTGGAAGGAATCTTCAACTGCTTGGGCTACCCGGTGGGATAAATACCTCCATGTCTATGACCCCAAGATCCATTGGTTCTCTCTCATCAACTCGGCCGTCTTTGTGGTGTTCCTTGTGGGCATGGTCAGCATGATTCTTATCCGCGCACTCAAGAAGGATATCGCTCGTTACAATCGGCTGGATTCGTTCAACCTTGAGGATTTGGATGGTACCTCGGCTGCGATCGAGGATGGCGTCCAGGAGGATTCCGGCTGGAAGTTGGTCCATGGCGATGTCTTCCGGTGCCCCAAGTCTCCGCTACTCCTCAGTGTGATGCTGGGTAACGGCGCTCAATTGTTTATGATGACTGGTGTCACTGTTGGTACGTATCCCGGCTCTCATTCTTTGCCTCTTTGATACTGACGTGCTTACTTAGCATTCGCCCTACTTGGCCTCCTTTCTCCCTCCAACCGTGGTTTCCTGGCCACCGCTATCCTCCTCATTTCCGCCCTCTTCGGTTGCATTGGCGGCTACGTATCGGCACGAGCATACAAGTCGTTTGGCGGCGACGCATGGAGGCGCAACATTATCATGACGCCTCTCTTCACGCCAGGAATCATCTTCGGTAGTTTCTTCATTCTCAATCTGTTCGTCTGGGCCAAGGGCTCCAGCGGTGCTGTGCCATTCGGAACCATGCTTGCGCTCGTCATGATCTGGTTTGTAATCAGCGTGCCATTGAGTGTGGCAGGCAGCTGGCTAGGATTCAAGCAATCGGTATTGTTAACTCTTCTCAAGTTCATGTCCTTTATCACTGACGTTGTTTTCCACAGCCAATCGAAGGCCCGACAAAGACAAACCAGATCCCCCGTCAGGTCCCGCCAATGGCTGGCAGCTTGCGCACGATTCCGTCGATTCTGCTGACCGGAATCCTGCCCTTCGGTGCGATCTTTGTTGAGCTATACTTCATCATGACCTCCCTCTGGACCAACAAGATCTACTACATGTTTGGATTCTTGTTCCTCTGCTACGGTCTCATGATTATCACCTCAGCGGCCACGACCGTTTTGCTGGTATACTTCCTGCTATGCGCAGAGAACTACCGGTGGCACTGGCGTGCCTTCGCGGGCGCTGGTATGACCGGAGGCTACGTCTTCGTGAATGCGCTCATTTTCTGGGCCACGCGGGTGAGCTTCGGTGGATTGACTGGGGCAGTGCTCTATGTGGGTTATTCGGCGCTGATCGCCTTCGTCGTGTTCATCTTGACTGGTATGTTCCCTTCCGCCTCCCATCGGGCTTCGCTGACCATCCAGGTTCCATCGGATTCTTCGCCAGTTGGGCATTTATTCATCGCATCTATGGCTCCATCAAGGTGGATTAAAAGTCAATAGCTGTATAAGTAGGTAGACGAGATGTATATAAGTAATGAACTGTAGAGTGCCAAGCCTCCCCGGCTGTTCTGGACTTCTTCTCGCCGCTTCGATCTTCAGTAACTTCTTCTTTCTCTTCTTCTTCTTCTTCTTAGTTACCCTCCATTCTCTCTCCATTCTCTTTACCTCTCTTTCTCGATATTCGCCGCTGTGTGTTTCTCCCCCTTACGTTGA